TGGGTTCTTTAATATGCTCTCAAATTTAAGCACACGAGCATCTAGAATTTTTGCTTCCATTGAAAATGAGGCGGCCAGAGCCGGTATTCAACTAATGCCATTCAGGTCAGCAGCCGAGCAACATAACCACTGTGCCACTGCGGCAGTTTTTCGGTGCTAAAAAAATGCTAAATTTAAGGAAAAAATCGCGCTTCAAGAATGAACATCAACCTTATGTAATTTTAATTACTTACTACCGAGCAAGGAGCTGCAATATTGCAAACACCATTGCTGCCTTAACAGGGCACGGAGGAAAGCAAAACTTGGCAAAAAAAAATTTTTTTTTTCGAGTCTGCAGGTGTTTTTTCGTACATGTTTTTGACATTGATGTATTTTTTTAAGGAGCATTTATTTTGGACTGAAGACCAGTTTTTTCCCAAAGCAGGTGGGCAGTAAACATGCATATGAGGATAAGCCTCTCATGTGTGCTCCATGCTTACAATTCACTTTAAAAAAATTTAAAGATTTGTGTACAAAAGCCCAAATACTTGTCTGAAATTAGCCGCGTATAATTTGTCTCACAATTTGCAAGGCAGTTTGGGGATGTTGTGTGCCTCTATATTCATACTTGAAACATACTAGCAGGCTAGTTGGAGAGATACTACAGCATATGGCAGCGCACACCAGGTTACACAAACAGTGCTGTTCAGCACTTGTGTCCTCCCTTTGTGTAACCTAATGTGTGCTGCTATACATTATTTATTCACACTTGCTTTTCAGAGAGTGTTGAGACAATTTCAGCCCCTTCCTTCATTACATATTGTATCTGTCGTGGCTATGTACGTTGAAATCCTGAAGGTAAAGGTCTTCAGCTAGTGTAAATCTCGTGGCAACCAAAACACTTTTCTTGTAAATGTGCATAAATGCCGGCGAAGAACTGAAGTGCTGAACACCGAATCGGCAAGCTCTTTATCATCGAACCTCTCGGCCTTTTCAGTGTCCTTCGAGGGAGGCGAATCACGTGCAGGTTGATAATGGGTACGCTATAATAGACAAAAATTCTTATTGATGCAATTAAACCGAATTACACGTACAAACCATGTGGTGAGGGTGTTGAGCTAATGGAGTGTTGTATTGCAGTCTTTGTTTGAGCTTCAGGTACTTAGGATTGCAAGATTACATGTTATTTCATTTAATGACAGTATCGAACATGCAAAAATACTGAAATGATTGGGATTGAGGCCTGGCCAAAATACAGACAATTTGCAGACATAAATAAACTTCAGTGGAGAGCTGTAACGTCAACGTTAAACCGACATGACACGTGTATTATAGGAGAACATATGTAATGTTTATAAAATTGGATAGCCCCAGCAATGCCACGACAATTGACGTTTCACGAACATTACGCCTCCATAGGGTCTGTGCCAAGCAGAATGCCTGGGTTCGATCCCTGCTAGGACCAGAAGATTGTTGTAGAACAAGAGACAAGACAGCGGCTCATGAGGCCTTGCCATGATCGCAGCTTTTACTTGGGCGAGGATGTAGTGGAGCAGCACCAGCTATCGCGTCCTAGCGCTTTGCACGACTTGAAAGCTATATACAAAAGAATAAAAAACCAAGCGACACCGAGTTTATGTACAGAGGGGTGCACTGTCAGCTGGCAGAGGCAACTAGTTTTGCGCAAGAGCTATGAGTGCAGTGGGCGGCGCTCGTTTGTCGTTTGCTACAGTTGCGGCTGCGCTTCACTTTGTAGCGAAGCCAGACATTCCTACACTTTGAAATTTGTCCATAATCTGCATGGCCGAGCTCAGATAGAAAGTTGTGGGAAAGCTTCAAGGAAATTAGATTATTTAACATACCACCTCACTTATACTTTTATGACTTCTTTACTGTTGTCTTTTTCTAGCATAGCTTTATAAAAAATATTTTTTCGTATGGAGTGCGTAATTCATGTGCACTAATGCAGATTCAATCTGCTGCAGTGCGTAAGCTGAAAAAATAATTTACAAGTGCCTTTAATTGGCATCACCAAAAAGCTTTCTTGAAGCAAGCAATTCCTTATCTAACGAGAAGGAGAAAGCAAGACTTCAATACGGCTGATGGGTCAGGGGGATAGTTATCTGATTATAGATAATTCCCATCATTTTTAGTCTAGCTCAAAGAAAAGCAGCTATCAGCTCGTCCTGAAGTGCGGCCGCAACTGTAGCAGATGACAGATGGGCGCTGCCCACTGCGCTCACTGCTCCTGCACTAAACTTGTTGCCCCTGCCGGCCAGCACTGGTGCCGAGCAGACGACAAGCGCTCCAGTGTTCCCTTTAACAGTGGAACCCTCTGTACATGAACGGCAGGTCTAAATGTCCGTAAAGAAGACAGAGTCGTGATCTTCAAAGGTAAAGAGTTCGTGTCACAGCTCCGGTGGACAGCACTGGGAGCAGCGGAGTGGACGAGGATTGCGAGGGACGGAGACTGCTGGAAGCAATGATGGTCGTCCATATGGGCGGGTGACGCAAGTCATGTGCCCACGACGCAGGTGTGACTTTCGAAAATGACCCGACGCCAAATGCTGCTGGCATGCAGACACAGGCCGACATTTGCTGGAACGCGGCGTAATTTTCTCTCGATGCGTACCGTAGGTAGTGGGCAGCAGAGCAAATGGCGGGGCGGCGTTGACGTTGCTGGTGCTGTGCGCGATGTCGCCGGCGCAATGCCGACCACTGATGTGTGGAGGACCAATAGAAGTCTGCCTTTCCCATTTGACATGTCAGGGGGTGCCTTTGCCGTACTTGCACCTTCTTGCAGTGGATGCCTGCATCCTAGGGTAGGTCGGACGGGCGGGTGTATTGTTGCGGTGCATTTAGCACTCTGTACAATAGCTTCGCCATCTTTGAGACTCAGCCAGAAGACATGCGATGTCGTGGTCGGGTGTCGACGAATTAGGAGTCGGAGCGCTGGCATTTCTGGGGCTTGGCCACTGGCATGCCTGGTGCTCGTTAAGGAGGATGTCGCACAGAAGAGGCGCAAACCCTGTGGTAGGACTGAACCTTGAACCAGTGGTCGTGGCATTCTCTTGAGAGTCTGGTGACGAGCAGCATGCGCACAGGGGAACACGCTCATTGACTGATAGTGTGTCTGTTGTAGCATATGTGGGTGGTTCTAAACCTGGCTGGACCGGCGCATTGTGCGCACTCGGTGCCTCGATGATTGTGCCCAAGTGGACCAGTCACCAAGTGGACCAGCTGCCTCATTTGTCATCGTTGTATTGGCCATGGTAGCCAGTGCAGCAGAGCGGGATTCTGCAACGAATCCGACAGTATGCAAAGCTGTAACTGGGGTTGAATCTGTCCAGGAGAGACGCAGTGGCTCTGGTAGCAGAGCGAAGATCTAGGAGATAGGAACCCTAGACTCCGGAGTTGCCGACCTCGGTCGACGAGCCAAATGAATCGGCAGGATGATCTTCACCTGTGTAGCCAGGTGAAGATCATCCTTGGCAGGGCGATCGTCTGAACTGGCCGTGGTGCGGGAGGCGTACATGAAGATGAGCCAGGAGCCACGGTGTCACTTTTGGGAAGGCGACGTTTGATGCCGTGATACTGGAGCACGACATCACACAGGTGGTCGTAAGGGCGAGAGTTCCACAAGAAGTACGTGAGGTGGCGCTTGAGGTTCCGTGGAAGATGGTACTGCAGTACCTCAAACATGAATTATTGGAGCCAGATGCTGTTGAGCTCCAAGGCAGCCTTGAACTCTGGAACCATGACACGATGCAGGAGGTCCAGAACGGTGGTAGAGGTGGGTCAAAGTGCCGCTGCAAGGCTTGAGCTGGCTGGAACATGGCTGCGAAGCTCAGTGGCAGCAGTGCAGCACCTGTCGCTTGTCCGTTGGTCCGCTGTCACCAAATGTACAGAAACAAAACGCGATGGCGGGTGACATGGCCGTGCCGTCGTCTCAGCTTTTATTTGGACGCAGTCATAGAATGCGGTCGCGGCTGCGGCGTCCATTTAGGTCTCGAACCTGTGCGCTCTGACCACCTTCTGGTTCAGAAAACATAAGCCAAGCGGCTCTCTTCTTTTTTAGCGTGGCAGCTGACCAAGACTGACGTGACGCTACAAGATTTATTCTTTGCATTTCTCGGGTCAACGCTGCCGATGTCTGTTTTTCTTAACAATCTAGCATTTAAATTATGAAGGCCTGTTCTTGTCGTTCCTTGGTAGATTTAAACTAACTCCAGTGGCCCATACCTGCACTTATCTGGTCGAAAGGGTTTGATGATGTACGCAACCGGATTGTTCATTATTCATGTCATGACCAGCCAGTCATATTCATCAAACCATTTAACTCTCCTATATTAACTCTGGTTTCCTCCAAGTTAGTGGGGTGATCAGGAGAGCTCCCAGATATAGGCAGCTAGATAGATACATCGATACACACGCTAAGAATACTTGCAGTATGCAAAGAAAAGCTTCACATTTAAAACTCTCCAAGATCATATATATTTTCATAAATATGGTTCAGTTAAAAGAGCAGAAACTTTGGAAGGAAGTATGAATATTATGAAAATATCTGTTATGTGAAAATGGAAGTATCACGTGAAGCTCTTAGTGAATGAGAAAATCAACTCAATATGGTAAAAAATTATGGAACATATAGGGTTTACTTTGTACCCTTAATTAAAATGGCCCAGTTGAACGCTATCGGACATATTTTTAAGACTGACCGTCAAACCAATTAGTCTTTTCCTCCTAGCCAACTGAACAAAATGAACCTTGGAAGGCCATGCAACGCATAGGGCAGATAACCAGTGGTTTGTCAGTTATAAAATTTGCACTAATAGACAGGAAAGTGCAGTTGAGGGCAAGGAATTGGGCAGGGCAATAAAATAAAATTTTCAGGCATAACGTGAAATTAGCTGACACAAAACAGGGAATTAAAGATCACCTTAATGTTGTGGCAGATATGCAAAGGCCAATATGATGACTAAGAAGCAAATAAACAACTACCTAATCAAGGTAACACTGCAGTGTCTTCAAAATGCCATTTATTCATACTCAAAATGTTTGTGCCAAAAATTAGAAAGGTAGCAGTTGTCTTGAAGAGAAAATCTTCACAGCAACAAACATTTACAATTGCTTCTCAGCAGAAAGAGTTAGTATGAAATGGGTATTTAAAATACTTAAAGCAATCTTTGGCAGTCGATGTAGCATGGAGCCTGGATAATTAAAGGCCACACGCCACAACATGGCTGTGCACATTCCTTATACTCAATATTACTGCACTCTGAATAATTCAATTAGCCTAGTTCACCCAGTCAAAAACAGCTAGTACGTATACCGAGGTTGTTATGGCTGGAATGTAGAAAGTGTTTAGTTTAGCGGTTGAGCTGTCTCTAGCAATGTAGAAACCACAGAAAAAAAATGCAAGCGGATGATTTAGGTAATGCCACAAAGCATTTAATTTACTTTCTGACCAGCCACTTTTAAAAGAACATGCCTGTAGGATTGTCACCAGGAAATTCAATGAATCAGCACACTGCATGCAGTCGCTTCCCTACCGAAATACACATATTGGCATAACAAAATGCTGTCATTTTGTGTATAAACCCACATAAAGCAATGAATTGTTTTTTCCTTCTGGTCTGTCCTGGTATAACGTCAGCAAAAGAACTGCACCGTTAAAACACCAGTTGGCAATGTATCACAAACAGGGCATGCATTAGGCATGAGAAAGACACAGGCATAATATGACAATAGTTGCAGCACACACTGTCCTAGCCAACATTTTGTAAAATGCCTTTTTTTGTAAAACACCAAATAATTAGCAAAATGATGGGATTCATTTGTTAAAATTCAATACACATGGCAACACCTTCCTACATAACCTGTGGGGATCTGTGGCGCACCTGCAAAATATTGCCAAACATCCTGTGCTGACAACCTGGAGATCTAAAAGCAATCTTCAATGACCGAATTTTCATTTCTAACTTGCTAAACCTCAACACGGGCACGTCAGTAAATTGAATATCGAATGATTGCTTATTATGGCTGGAGAAAATTTACTACAAAATACAGATACACTAATTTATATTCTTCTCCATTAAACTTACTGTATTATGTATGTGGCAAACTTGCCCTGTATATTATTGCATACTGGCATTTCTGTTGCATCCTTATGGAAGTGCCAACCTCATGGAAGTGCTAAGTGGGCACAAAGCAACCTAAAAGATTAGTGACTTGGAATGGAACGAAGTTAGACTTCTAGCACTAACTCTGCAGCTTTTCTGACAAAACTGCCTTTTAAATAAATATCCAGTTTTATCAACGTGGGAAACAAGAAGGACCAAAGCACAGGCATACATAGTACCCGTGCCTTTACACTGTAACAGACACAAACCTGAGAGTTGACAGCACACGCTGTACAATTCTGCCAAACACTTTCTCACAGCTGAAGGGTTTTTCAGATCTATTGCGACAGTATCAAAGAACCAGTTGTCTAGAAACCAACACCCACCAGGTTTTCCTCTTCTGCACAGAATCAAACATCTCGCTTGAACACAGGAACTTTACTGTGCTAAGTTTTGGCAGCATTGGAACATTGCACATTATAATCATAACATTGAGCTATTTATTAAAAAACAAACATGACCCCAGTTTAATCATATGGTCAGTTAAATCCGACTGACTATAAAATAAACTGGCTTTACAGGACAGGAAACATGCACAGAGACTTTGCAGCCAGTCACTTTCTCAAAAATCAACATTTGCACTGTAACACAATCGCATTACAAGCAACCATTTGCGACAGACCACAATCACTGGAGCCTGACACGGTCATAAACAGCACTATGTGTGTAAAGTTCTCTTGACTACAAAAATGTGTACAAAACTTAAATTCGGTAACACATGAAATTTACTTAGAAAAAAAAGCAAGCCATGGCTGCTGGTTTATTAAGGTTCTTGAGTACAGCCAATGAGAAGGTGCCCTGTAATCTGTAGGGCACAGTCAAGACAAAACTCATAAAGCCTAAAAAAAAAACACACACACATACACACATACTGCGGCTGCACACACTGCGAGATTCTCAACAGATCGTGGGGCTCCTGCTGTAAGTGAGTCAACAGAGGCCAACCACAAGTCAGGAAGGACGCGCAAACAGAAGCCGCACTGACTAGGGGGCCCAAGCCTCAGAAGAGCAAGTCTGAACTGGTGGCGGACAAAGACCAGGCTGTGGCAGGGGCAGGCTCTTCAGGTTCTGGGGCTTCAGCGGTCTCGGGAGCAGGCAGAGGTCGACTCGGTCGGCATAGACCCAACTGGAAGGCCTCACCACTACTCAATGCACTAGGCGTGTAGCTTCCCAAGGAGCCTCCTGTAAGAACATGTGTTCACACAAGCATTGATTTTCACACTTCAATGTAATCACCAAATGCTTTACTCTGCACGGTAGAGGATACAGGTGAGAAGTATCCAGAAATGCATATAGCACCAAGTATGACGTGTGTTATTTCAGCATTCTACACATTAACCTTAACGGGTGAACAAAGTTAGCCCTTTTCTTAAAACCGACAAACCAATAATATTCTCTTTCTTAGGAATGAGAAGCACAATTCAATTTTCATTTCAGTGGATCAACTGAATATATAGTAATTTAGCTTGGTTCCATGATTAGCTCATAACTACTTACACCATAAGCATGTACGTGCATGCAAAACCAGAACGAAATGTACATGTTCTGTGAAAGGTGGTAGTTCCTTCCCAATTTTAATGCACATGGCACCAGTGTACAGCAGTGAAAGCGACTTAAAAAGTCATTCTGCATACAAAAGAACATGGCCAGGAAGTTTTAGAACTGCCTTTCATTACATTCTTTTGCAGAGCAGTCAGGGGTGTTTTCCGGAATATGGGCTTCTCCACGGATCAGGAGGATTGCTAGAGCTCCAGGAGTTTCCAAGGCACACCGGGAAAGTTGGCCGACAGAAAATATCCTCATCACAATCCAAATCACCCGCTTCTGAGCGAGAATGTATGACGTTGCATATGCCATCACTGCCCTTTATGACCCAACAAGCAACACTGAATTCTTACCCCAAGCTCAAAAGCGGCACCAAAAAGCAAGTCGATGACATCACATGGACATGGCTTTTTTCTCTTACTGGCAGTTGGAGCAAATCTCACGGCTGAGCGGACCCACGTAAGCCCTACACTAATACTTTCATCACCATGACTGTTAGCATTGTTAGTATGTTAATGATGACTTTAAAATGCGGTCTGAGTGCTTCTGGGCAACTAACACTTACATAAAAGAGGCAGTACTTTATCAGTTTCACTTTTTTTTTTCCAACGTGGGTGCTCCTTCACAGTAGGAGAGGAGAGTGCTTGTGGTTTGGATTGTGGCGTCAACATTACTTCATAGCTACTCAATGAAAATAGGAAATTAACAGATTTTGAAGAATATGATCGTCATTTTCTGGGTGATGGTAGCACATACACTGAAGACAACTTCAATTCAGCAGACCTTAGTACAGACAGCGATGGTGCGTCAAACTACCCTGGAACATCATCAGGTGTTGCCGCAAGATTCACCCTCTTCCTGAGCTCTTTTATCGCTGCCGCGCATTGATATAAACATATCCAGTGCGTAGTAAAGGTAACACGTCTTATCTTCCAGGTGTCAACTTTGTTCAGGCAGGAGCATTTGGTACAGACTGCAGAAAAGAACAGAGATCTCTTCAAATGAACTGCACTAAAGCGTATTAGGGCCAGTTGGTACATGATCAACGAAGCAAAAGAAAAACCTTAGGACAGTCTCCTTTACTGTCCCGTGTTACGCACCATTTTTTTCACTTCTTTTCTCTCCAAAAAGACGACGCAGATTGGACCTTGACCTAGCGCTTCAGAGCTCTGTGCGCAGGCTTTGTATTGTTTTTCACAGTAGAAGTCATCAGAGAGACATGCCAGCACACAAATAAGTATGCATGAATGCATATTTTCAAAAGCCAATGCACAGTGAACCAACCTTCATTTCACCCAGATAAGAAACAGCTTTGCACAGTGGTATGATAGGCACTAGTGCTCATATTTTTGTATGTATGTAAAAAACCATTGTACTTGCAGAGCTTATACTTGCAGTATTGTTCTATAAGGGCTTCATGCTAAAAACATATATTTTCATTTTTTTAGTGTTTACTATGAGCAGAGTAGCAGTGATGTTCCTAAAAATTTTGTTCCATTTTTTATTGTTAATTTCTTATAATGTTTAAAATACACCTGTTGTTTTAAATTAATACCATTGAAAAGACAATTTCTTCTATCATTTTATATCCAACACTTTAGCATGAATCAATTTATGTGGCCATAAAAAATGTACATATTTTCAGGATCACCCAAAAACAACAGATTTTTCTACAGTAATGAAAATGTTAATGAAACCACTTAAATGCAAGTATGCAGGCAAAAAATTTTCTACAACTCTTGTCCCTCACACCGTTGTCAAGCAACAGAGTGCTGAACAAGGTGGTCATGATGCATTCTTGGCTCGAGCTATACTTGAAGTGACGCGATTGACCGAAGCCACTTTGGCACCGCTTCTGGAGCAGCTGAAACCTCACTTTGGAGCAGCACAACCACCTTTTGAAGCAGTTACTAAGTGTACATCTAGTTACTAAGTGCACATCTTTTAATGCAAATATTCATCTAAGTTAGCTAGAGCAGTTGTACCACATGTTAAACAAAATCGACTTGCATGTCGATACCAGCACGCAGACTTAAAATACCTCCGAAAATTGCGGTCAGCCCCAAGTTTCCTTGGTGCTGTGACCTTAGGCCACGCAACATTTCGGAATCCACTTTATGTCTGTAAATTAATATAAGTTTCTCTGTTGACTTAGTAAGCTCAAGCTGTATTAACTTTTCATGAATTCTGTTTAATACCCAAGATCATTTGGATAATGTTCATCTTTTCAGAACAACCTTGATGTGTGTGCCCATCATAAATGCTTTGTTTAATAACAAGAGAGTTTGTAGTATTTCTAGCCTTCTTTTTGTCTGCATATTATTCTGTTCGCACCTATCTGCTGAATTCTGGTACCCTCTGCTTGTACGTACACATTATTTGCACCCCGTCATGGTGATGCTGGCTGCGGTACCAATAAATAAAATAAAGTGCCAGTGTGCTGCTTTATTGTTGACGTTCCGGAGCTTGGGTAGTTATTAAAATTGAAGCCTGAATATTTGGAGACTTGTGCTCAAATTTAATTTGCGCTCCATGAAATTCGCAGTAATGAGAGACTTCGTATTTAAAGGGACACTTAAGTCAAATAATTTACATCAGAGTGAAAGCTCAATGTATGACAACATCTAAAACAACAATATTAACAACAGTGCCCTATTTACCAAGAAATTATAAATGCAAAAGAGCACAAGTGCTGCAGTAGGACATTTTGAAAATGATCCCGATGACATCAGAAGGACCACCTACAATTAATCACTAGTAATCGATCTAACTGCACTAGATAAAGAACCTTCCGTACAACAAGAGACTCAACAAAATGCTGCTTGTTCGTTTCTGCTTGATTCATGGAAAAAAGAACCGCGAGCTGTTTTTATGAGGAATGGCGAGAGTAATTTAAAAATTAAATTTTTGCGTGGTTACATCTAGCAGAGCGCAGTTGAAACAAACCTCTGCAACCTCGAAGCTAATGGTGGGAAATTGATCAATGGCCGTTGTTACTGCTGTGGCTTGTGCTGCTTTTGGGCTGCTGCTACTAGCGCAGTAAAGCCGGGCAACAATGTGCATGGCAATAGTGATGTGAACCGGTCCGGTCGGTCCGCTTTTTGAGGCGGGTAATTTGAGCTGCGCTAACCCGATGCGGACCACTAAAACGTGCTTTTATTTCAAAATAGGCCCTTGCTTGGCACAAAAGTAACACTACAAGGTTTGTAGACCGCTATTTCAACAATCAAGGTCGACTTAACAGTTGCCTTTAGTGTCCCTTTAACTTCGACAAGCTCTAAAATACAAACTGTTGATGTGGTTGGGAGAAACAGAAGAGAGCGTGGTGCTGGGACACCCTGCTTTCTCGGCGAAAAACCGAAATCTACCCCAGTACGTGGAACTCTTCATAAATTTTAGCGATTTTATGGAACAAGGCTTGAAAGTTAGGCAGCCTGCATAAAAATTTGTATTAAGTGACTAGTATAATTTAAAAAAAAAACAACCATAACGAAATTGTCTATTCAAGCACATACACACACTGCTCACTATAATTCACGAGATCAATCTAATAGCTTGGCCCACAACAGTAAGGATAATAACAATTGTTGGGGTTTAACATTCCAAAACCATCATATGATTATGAGAGATGCCTTAGTGGACAGCTATAAGAACTTCGACTGCCCGGGGTTCCTCAATTTGCACCGAAATGCAAGTATTTTTGCCTCCATCGAAAGTGCAGCCAGTGCACTACAGTTAGGACCTACTTTATTGAACTTAATAATGTAACCTTGCGGTAGGGTCTAGTGGAAATAGAAGACATCACTCAGTATGGGCCAGGGTGAATTGTTTGGCAGGATTGCACCTAGCAACTAATTTAACCACACAGCACTTGCCAGTATGCTCCAATAACCACATTAAATTATAGTGGTAATTAGACATACTATGCAAGTCCTTTCAAGTATTCCTTTTCTTCGTAAGACTGCAGGGACGAATTGATTGATTGGTATGTGGGGTTTAACGTCCCAAAACCACAATATGATTATGAGAGACGCCGTAGTGGAGGCCTCCGGAAATTTTGACCACCTAGGGTTCTTTAACGAGCACCCAAATCTGAGCACACAGGCCTACAACAATTCCGCCTCCATCGGATATGCAGCCGCTGCAGCCGGGATTCGATCCCGCGACCTGCGGTCAGCAGCTGAGTACCTCGCCACTAGACCACTGCGGCGGGGCGACTGCAAGGACGAAGTCTTGGTGCATGCTAATTGCAATTTATGACTTGTAAAATCATAGCACCATGTAGCAGATTTCATCTCTTGCCGCAGTTTGGCATAGTTGGTGCTGCTATCATATCACTGTGTTTGGCGCTCATGGCACCCAAATGCATAACCTTGGAGATTGTTTGAGATTACTGAGAAAAAATCATTGCTGGGTGAGAGTTCGTGTACCACCTAAGCATTGCTCCAAGAACCTAATAGAAATGAAGATTTAGCATTTCAATAAATATGATAATCCACAATAATTATTTTTTTTATATGAACAGTCAAGCATAATAATGTCCCAGTGGAGTTGCAAGCTGTGCCTTACACTTACCTGAATACCTTGATTAATAAAGTGCTGTTTTAGCTAATATTGACAATTTAGGCATTCCAAAG